TGGCTAACACACTGAAACCCCGTCTCTACTAAAAATACAAAAAATTAGCCAGGCGTAGTGGTGGGCGTCTGTAGTCCCAGCTACTCGGGAGGCTGAGGCAGGAGAATGGCGTGAACCCGGGAGGGAGAGCTTGCAGTGAGCCGAGATCGCGCCACTGCACTCCAGCCTGGGTGACAGAGCGAGACTCTGTGTCAAAAAGAAAAAGAAATCTAGCAACATTATTGGTATAATGCAAACTCTTTTCTCTTCATGTGCAAATAGTGAGATTATGCTCTTAGAAAAGCTGAATGATCCCACCAAAATGTTCTTAGAATTTATAGAATTTGGTAAGGGGATGGGATTCAAAACCACCAAAATGTTCTTAGAATTTATAGAATTTGGTAAGGGGATGGGATTCAAAATAGCATACAAAAAGTAATAGTGTTTCTCTATTCTAGTACTAACCAGTTAGAAATTTAAATGGAAAAAAAAAAAAACTACTTAAAATAACCACACAATGTATGAAATAGCTAAGAATAGAGATTTAAGAAGAAAGACTTGAGGGCCAGGCCCGGTGGCTCACGCCTGTAATTCCAGCACTTTGGGAAGCTGCGATGGGTGGATTGCCTGAGGTCAGGAGTTTGAGACCAGCCTGGCCAACGTAGTAAAACCCGTCTCTACTAAAAATACAAAAAATTAGCTGGGCGTGGTGGTGGGTGCCTATAATCCCAGCTACTCAGGAGGCTGAGGCAGGAGAATCACTTGAACCGGGGAGGTGGAGGTCGCAGTGAGCCAAGATTACACCATTGCACTCCAGCCTGGGCAACAAGAGCAAAACTCTGTCTCAAAGAAAAAAAAAGAAGAAGAAAGGCTTGAGATCTTTAAGAACTACAAATACTCCAAGGATATGAAATAAGACCTTAATGAATAGAGGAATGTTCTGTGTTCTTAAATGGGCGATTTTATAGTGAAACAAAACGAAAACCAGTTCTCTCCAAATTAATATAGACAGCACAATTCTAGTCAAAAATCTCAGTTGGGGAGTAGGACTGAATGAAATGAAATTATTTTAAAGTTTTACATTGTAGAATTCAGTCTAACAATAGTTGAGAGATTGATTTCAAAAATATTAAAACTACAAAGCTTCTGCAATTAAAAAACCAAAAAAGTGATATTAACACAGTAATGAAACAGTGGAACCATAATAGAGAGTCTAGCAAAAGATCCCAGTATGTTTCAGACTTAGTAATTTGTTGAAGTTAGTACAGATATCTTATCTGAAACCTTAGGGCCAGATGCCTCAGAATTCATTTTTGGGCTTCAGAAAGCCAATATGCAAGGCTGGACACAGTGGCTCACACCTGCAATCCCACCACTTTGGGAGGCTGAGGTGGGAGAATCGCTTGAGCCCTGGAGCTCCTGACCATAGTGAGACCTCGTCTCTACAAAAAATACAAAATTAGCCAAGCATGGTGGTGAGTGAGTACCTATAGTCCCAGCTACTCAAGAGGCTAGAGTGGGAAGATCACTTGAGCCCAGGAGTTTGAGGCTGCAGTTAGCCGTGATCACACAATGGCAGTGCAGGCTGGGCAACAGAGTGAGACCCCTATCTCTAAAATAAAAAGAAAGACAATATGGTATTAGCACTAACCTCTCCAAAAGGATCTGGGGAAAGTGCCTTGTAGATGAGTCATGAATAATTCTTCACATGACATATATATAAATGGAATAAATAAAAATGTAATGTCAGTTCATATTTAGCCACCAAAGGAATTTTGGGGGAAAACTTGTTTTCTAGAGCCTTTTGGATTTCCAGTTTATAGATAAGGGATTATAGAACTGTATTCCAATTTGGTAGGGAAATAATGGTTTGTTTTGTACATTTCTGTAAAAGAAAATTTTGGACCCTGTACCTCATAACACATATAGATTGAGTTCATCCTTCATCTGAAAATCTGAAACACTCTGAAATCCAAAACTTTTTTTTTTTTAAGAGATTGAGTCTTGCCATGTTGTGCAGGATGGAGTGCAGTGGCTGGTCACAAGTGAAATCATTGCACACTATAGCCTTGAACTCCTGAACTCAAGCAATCCTCCTGCATCAGCCTCATGAGAGTAGCTGAGACTACAGGCACAAGCCACTGTGCCCAGTAAAATCTGACTTTTTCAGCACAGACATGACAAAGTAAATGCTCATTGAAGCATTTCAGATTTTGGGTTTTTTGGAGTAGGGATGCTCACCTGGTAAGTATAATGCAAATATTCCAAAATCTGAAAGACTTCTGGTCATAAGCACTTTGGATAAGGGATACTCAATCTGTATCAAATTTTCAAATTCTAGAAAATTTGGCCAGGCGTGGTGGCTCATGCCTGTAATTCTAACACTTTGGGAAGCTGAGATGGGCGGAGGTCCTGAGCTCAGGAGCTCAAGACCAGCCTGGGCAACATAGGAAAACACTGTATCTACTAAAAATACAAAAAATTAGCTGGGTGTGGTGGTGCGTGCCTGTAGTTCCAGCTACTCAGGAGGCTGAGGCATGTGAATTGCCTAAACCCAGGAGGCGGAGGTTGCAGTGAGCTGAGAGCCCCTGCACTCCAGCTTGGGTGACAGAGCGAGACTGTCTAAAAAAAAAAAAAAGAAAATTTAAATGTGAAAAAGAAAACCAAGATGAGAAAATAGTTAGAAAACTACAGACTCTGGGCGGGTGGTCCAGTGTGCTTACCAGAGCACTCAGTTGCCGGTGGACAGGGAAATGCCGTGGGAAGCAGCAGCACAGATTCTTCTGTCTTTCATCCACAGCAGAAATACCCCACAGTGACAACATCCAGTGCTGATGGGCAGGCAGGAGGACCAGGTCACTGTTTTAACACAGGTGGAAGCAGCATGACTTGGAAATGTTCTGCAGTTAATTGGGCACTATCACTTTGAAACCAAACCTGGTTAGAATTAAAAGCACCAGCATGGAAGTGTACAGGTTTATTCTGGTGTTGCTGGGTTACTGTGGAGAAAATGTGGAAGCAATATAAATGTGCCTCAGTTGGGAGAATTTATGGTGTGGTCATCTGGGCATCCAGAGCCAGGAGGATAAAGTGTTGGCAAGTGAGAAAGAGTCACTGAGGAACGGTCTATAGTAGTATCCTAATTGTGTATCTTTAGTTTGTTATGAGCATGTATGATGTCTGTTAATATTTTCCTCCAGTAGTAGAGAAAACGTGCTAAGGAAAAAAAAAAATGAAGATGGAGAGAGTAGAAGCAGCAAGTGAGAAAGCTTTCTGAAACATGTAAATGGAGTGGGCGGGACTCAGTGGGCTCTCCCACCCCGCCAAAAATATCCTCCTTTTAGCTTACGGTTTTTATAATGATCAAAGTGAGATTTGCCTGTACTCCCACCATGAGGAAATGGCCCCGCATACTGACGGAAATCCTTCCAGACAAAATGGCTCTGGCATGTTTTGCAGACAGTACTATATTATATACCTTTCTTATGCCATTGGAGAGATGAGCCCGATTTGAAGGGCTGCATGACGTTCGTTTGAATGTACAATTTATTTAACCTTTTCTGCACTGAGGAACGTTTAGGTGTTTTCCCATTTTTCACCACTACAATCAGTGTGCACGTATGTTTCCAATTCTTAAATTTAGGATAGGTTCTGGGAAGGGATTAATGAAACAGATTTTTACTTTTCATACATTCTGTCAAACTGCTTTCCAAAAAATATGGAAACAGTTGATCCTCCCACCAGCATAGAAGTGTCTCTTCAACCTTGCATGACTGGGAATAATTCTTCATTCTTGGAATTCTGTGGGTTAAAAAGACATGTTTGATTAAATATCTGTTCCTGCTTTTATACCCTCCCCGTTGGTCCCAAAGTGCTCCTTGCCTATTAGCCTAGTTGGCACCTTGTTATGGGTTGCACCTTTGGCTCTTAGTTTCTTAATTTGTTCACTGCTTATAGCTTTTTTGTAAGCAAATCAGATTTCTGTAATACAGCCGTAAACATATATAGAGATCTATAGATCTGTATTTTTAATTACCTACTGTAAGTGTGGTGTGGAAGGAGAAGGAATTTGAACAAAGATCAGATAGGTTGTGGTTCCATGCTTGTAGAGTGGCCCTCCGTTGGTGGGGCTGCGCTCCGGGTGGAAGCGTGGGTGGAGGGGCAGGGGGGCGTCCCTCTAAACTGGCAGGGTCGGGGCGGGAACTTGTAGGGCACTCAGAGCAGCCTCTCCAGCCCCTTCTGCCCTGCCCGCAGCTCATGATGGAGCAGTCCAAGAAGTCCTCGCTCATGGTGGCCCGCAGTATTCTCAACAACAAGCTCATCAGCAAGAAGCTGGAGCGCTACCTGAAGGTGAGGCGCTGGTCCTGGCCTGGGCTTGTCCCCACCTCAGTCCCTGCCTGTGCTCCCTCCCTTCAGTGTCCGCGCCCCTCCCCACAGGGCGAGAACCCTTTCACCGACAGCCCCGAGGAGGAGAAGGAGCAGGAGGAGGCTGAGGGCGGTGCCCTGGACGAGGGGGCACAGGGCGAAGCGGCAGGGGTCTCGGAGGGTGCAGAGGGCGCGCCGGCGCAGCCTCCCGTGCCCCCAGAGCCAGCCCCCGGGGCCGTGTCGCCGCCACCGCCACCGCCCCCAGAGGAGGAGGAGGAGGGCGCCGTGCCCTTGCTGGGAGGGGCGCTGCAACGCCAGATCCGCGGCATCCCGGGCCTCGACGTGGAGGACGACGAGGAGGGCGGTGGGGGCGTCCCGTGACCCGAGCTCGGGGCGGGCGGGGCCCGCGTGGCCGAAGCTGGAAGCCAAACCTAATAAAGTTTTCCCATCCCACCTCCCGGTTTCTCTGTTACGGTGCCGCGCGGGTCGGGCGGGGCGCGGGCCGGGCCCTCGGGCACCGCTGCGGGACCACAACTCCCGACAGGCTGCGGAGGTGGAGCTTCGCAGCCCGAAAGGCTAGCTGGGACGGCGAGGGCGGACCCTCGTGAAGGCCAGCCAATGGGCGCGCGCGGAAGTAGTGACGTGTGCGCCTAGTCTTCCAGTAGTCGACGGCGGAGGTGCGTTGAACGCATGCGTGCTGTGGTCTCCTAGTAAAAGGGGCTGCTGGTGGGCCGCGTTGAAGACATGGACCAGGGCTATGGAGGTTTGTGTAGGCTGCTGGGTGCAGAGTAGGGAGCGAAGGCTGAGTGCGAGCTACACAGCCGCTGCGCAGACGGCCGCGGGCCGGGCCTTCGTCCGGAGTGTGGTTGCCGCAGCCGGGCCCTGCAGAGAGGCGGCCAGGGCGCGCGCGCGCGCGCGCCGCTCATTGGGCTTTGGCGCCGTCGCTCCCTGGGCGCTGCGTGCGGATTGGCCGCCAGCGCCCGAAGAGGCGGGCGGGACTCGGGGTTGGGGCAGACGCCGCGGTGGGCTTCATGGGGGGCGCCTTGGGCTGTGCGGGCCGTTTCTGTCCCTCACCTTCGGCGGGGCCCTTCCGGCCCCCGGCGACCCCGGGGTTTGCACTCCCGGCTTCCTCTTCCGAAGACGCCACAAAATGGCGGCGCTAGGGGGCGGAGCTACAGCGTGGGGTCCTGAGGTCGGGCTCCGGGCGCTGGGTCTGGGGCCACTGGTGGACCGCTGGGGCCGCCTCTCCTGACCTGCCCTAGGCCTTCGGGGCCGGGTGGGGCCTCTGCTGGGCTCCCAAGGCCCAGGGCGCCTGTCCCGGAAGCCGTCGGGCTGCGCGGGGTCGGGCCTTTAATCGCCGGTGCTGCGTAGTGGGGCCGAGGGCGGCCGGCGCGGGAGCCAGCCTCGCCGGGCTCCAGCTCTGTACCCGGCGCGTGCTAGCGTGGGACAGGATGGTGAGGGGCAGATGCTGAGTGTTTGTACAAAGCTGGAAACCTGATGTGCCCTGGGGCTGGTGACAGATTGGCCATTCTCATGTAGGCAGTGCGTTGCGGTGGCTTGGAGGGGCCAGGGGTTGTGCAAGAGGGAACGTGTCCTTTCCCCGCTTGGCTTTAGCGCTTGGCCTGCAGTAGGGCCGATTTTCTCGAGCTTCCTGCTCCCCGCCTCTGGAATCAGAGCCTTCTGGGAGCCAAGTTTGCCCACAGGGGATAGTTGGGACACGCTGGGTGGAGCTCGACTGGGTGTAGAGAAGCTAGTGGTCTGATCCTGGCTGCAGGAGCTCAAGAAGTTGTCGATCTTGAGAAGTGGCAGGGCAAAATTATCCCATCACCAGAAATTGCAGAGACAGGAGAGGGGTCGGTCCTGAGGCGGCAGCGTGCGCGGTGTGCTTTGGTGTCTTCCGGGTCCTAGCGAAGGCTCTGCCTGGCTCTCCTGGTCTTCCACAGCCTGGGTAGATTTCACCATTCTCTCCTTTCCTTCCCATCAGATCTTTTCTGCCGGTATTGTCTTTTTCTGTCTTAGTTTGGAGAGGTTTTTTTAATCCCCTTTTCCTACCTCCCGAAAACCTTTCAGACACAGTGGAGATAGTTCAGCTTCCCCGACTGCTTGTGTTTCGGGGAGCGTTTTAAGGTTAATAGTGCGTGCTGCTTACACTAGAGCTTCACAGGGAAGCGGCCTCTCGAGGTTGGTTACTTGCTGTTAGAATCTGCAGTCTGCCTTTCTGTTGCACGGATGCAAATTTAGAAGGCTTTGCGGTATGACGGAGGGGAAGGCATAGCATAGCAGAGGGCAAAACTCAGCGGTTATGACTGGGTCAAGTCTCGTAACCCGTGAGCCTAGCTCCCTTGTCTCTGAATGGCCTTCGGGACAACAGGGTTTGCTGGGTGCTTGCAGTGTATCGGCACACACTAGGCACTTAGCGGCGGGGCTAGTTCTGTTGAGGGAGACCAGAATGTCTCAGGTATGTTCCTGCCTCATCAAAGTGAAGTCATTTAACAGGCATGGTGGCCACCCGCGCGCAGCTGAGTGCTGGGCCCCAGGGACACAGAAATGAAGAGAACACAGTTCCCATCCTCCTTCCTGGAGGGACCAGACAGATCCCATAGTGGGTGGGGGGTGTTGGAGGGTCGAAGAGTGCAGTCTGATGCCTTCGGGCCAGGCCAAGGCCCTGGGACTTAAAGGTCCAGGGGATCCGTGGAGGGCTTAAAAGTGATAGGAGGTGCGGCTTAGAGAGATGCAGTTTATGTCACCAAATTCCCATGCTTGTTTTCAGTTACGGGGTACTTGTGATAGTAGTCGGAACTGGTTTCCTGGCTGTGTGGTGGGTGGGGGAATGTGTCCTCATGCTGAGTGGATTGTCTTGTGTTAGCCTCAGTTGTGGATGGACTCTTGGAGGGCTGAGGTACTTGGCCAAGGTCCCTCTGCAGGCGGAGCTGACTTCCAAGCCCACTTCCCACCCTTCTTTTTCTGCTTTGATCTCAGCCAAGTGGAATGCGATGATGCCGTTAGCCAGCTGTGGAGTGGCTTTTTTGTATGTTGGGGGGGTATTCCTTCTTGTAAGGCTGACACTGAACTGTAAGGAGATCCATTTAGGAGTACCCCTAAAAGGACCCGTTCTCTGGTGTGACAAATAGAATCTTAACTCACGGGGTCTTCTTGCAGGCTATGGGGCATGGAGTGCTGGACCTGCCAACACCCAGGGTAAGTGGGCTCTGCTTTGCGGGTGAGGCGTGGGCTTCCCCTACATTCAAGGCCCTAGCATGGCAGAGCTGAACCTGATGGTCACCAGGGTCAAGGGAGGTGGTAGCCCAGGGGTCAGCAAACTTTGTGTAAAGGATCAGATGGTGAATATCTTTGTGGCTTTATGAGCTCCACAGTCTCTGTAGCAGGCAAGCAGTCATAAATGTGTGAAAGAGTGGATGGGACAATGCCAGTAGTTACTTATAGACAATATAATTCGAAGATCATAATTTTTGTGTGTTATTAAATCCTCTATTTTGGCAAAATATTTTTATTCTGAGTAAATAGCTGAGGGTATATCCAAGGTGTTTTTTCTCTATCATTAACAGATTTTTAGCACAGCTTTAGATTTAGTAGTAGAGTTTCATAGGCCCACACATCTCCACTCAGGTGTACTGTCTCTCATTAGTACGATTTTTTTTTTTTCTTTTGAGACGGAGTCTTGCTCTGTTGCCCAGGCTAGAGTGCAGGGGTGTGATCTCGGCTCACTGCAGCCGCAGCCTCCTGAGTAGCTGGGATTACAGGCACCCACCACCGCGCCCAGCTAATTTTTGTATTTTTAGTAGAGACAGGGTTTCACAATGTTGACCAAGCTGGTCTCGAACTCCTGACCTCGTGATCAGCCCTCCTTGGCCTCCCAAAGTGCTGGGATTACAGGTGTCAGCCACCACACCCAGCCTCATTAGTAAGATCTTTCATTAGCTGGATGAGGCAGCTCATGTCTGTAATCCCAGCAGTTTGGGAGGCTGAGGCAAGAGGCTCACTTGAGCCTGGGAGTTCGAGACCCGAGCTCAAGTGATCCTTTTATCCTAGTAATAGAAAATTAGTAGGGCGTGGCAGTGCGTGCCTGTAATCCCAGCCGCTCAGAAGGCTGAGGTAGAAAGATTGCTTGAGCCCAGGAGGTCAAGGCTGCAGTGAGCTTTGAGCCACTGCACTCCAGCCTGGGTGACAGAGCAAGACCCTGTCTCCAAAAAAAAAAAAAAAAAAAAAAAAAAATCTTGCATTGGTGTGATGCATTTGTTCCAATTAATTAGCCAGTGTTCCAGTGTTTATGTGATATTATTCACTGTAGCTCATAGTTTTTCTTAATTTGCATAGTCTCTGAGTTTTGACCCAATGTGTAAGTGATATATTTCATGTCAAAATTTGTCATTGAATATACCTTAGAAGCTTTACCCCAACCATTTAAAAACGTAAAATTCACCCTTCGCTGAGGGCAGAGCCTGAGAACACAGGGCTACAGGCAGTGTGCTGGTACTTACTTATGAGCACTGAAATTCGAAAATCACAAGGGCTGTGCCAAGGTGGGCAGTGGGCTCCATGTGGCCTGACTTTTTACAGACCCCCACTCTAGAGTCAGGGTCACGACGCTAGGCTTGTTTGGGGGGCCATTGTGTGCTCTCTGCTGGCAAGGGTTTCTGCTTTCTGCCAGCCCGTGTTCGAGGGCACGAGGGCTTCCTTTGTGTTCTGAGTCTGAGATCTGTCTCTAGCAATATGGGGAGTGGGGCTGCTTTTCGAGCCACCACCCGGTGTTTCAGGAGGAGGCCTTCGAAGTCGCTCGAGGCACATAACGTCCTCTTGCTCGCTTGAGTTGAGGACGTGACGTTGCACCAATGCCTAGCTGTGCAGTTGGCAGCGCCTGCACTCTGGCTTCTGGTGGGAACTGGCCCTTTACGAGGACTCTGCCTGGGGCCTGACCCGGCCAACCTCTTGGCCAGCAGCCCACAGTAGACGAGCTTCCTGGGGAGCGTGCAGCATCCCTTCCCTTGCCCTGACGGGAAGTTGGCCTTGCACGGGAGAAGGCTGGTTTGTGCTCAGCCTAGTGCTCTGTAGGAGTTGAGTGAGCTAAGAACACCCAAGGCTGCCTCCCTGAGCGCTGCAGAGGGAAGCCCTGGGACTGTGGAGGGTGGAGCGGGGTGACAGCTGGGGTGTCAGTGCCTTCGTTCTGCAAACAGGGCTCTTGTGTGTGTTTGTTTCCCCTAAGGTGCATATGGAACTGGTGTGGCCAGCTGGCAAGGTAAGCCCTTCTGTGGCGGGGGGGGTCTGTGGGTGGGCGAGTGGGCCTCTGATCTGAAGGCCAGGCAGGTCAGCTCATCAGGGAGGTTTGACATGGACTTCCTGGCTCTGTTCCTGAGGACGCAGTCAGCCAGGGCTGCTGTTGTGAATACGGAGCGGTTGGTGGGGTGGGGCGGCTGCAGACGGCTGTGGTGGGCAGCTTCAGGGAAGCATGATGGGGAGGACTGTGACTGTGCTCTGGGAGCAGCGGTCCTTTGTGGGGCCTGTCAGCAGCCGGAACTGCTGTTCCCAGACTCAGTCACCCAGCTTAGAATGGGGAACAGGTCCTAGAGTCTGGCATGGAAAACCCACTGCTAGGCCCTGAGGCTACCCCTTTCTTTGGCCACCTCCTGCTGCCTCTTGGCAGGTCACAGTGCAGTGTGAAATGATGCCAGCAGCACTGGGTCCCACACCCCTTTTCCTTCTCGGTGGCAGTGGGTGCCCCTCCCTGGTTGTGTCCACCATGGACAGGTCTCCTGGGTGCTGAGGTCTGACTTGGCTCCTCCCCCCATGACAGGTTATGAAAACTACAATTACTACGGCGCCCAGAACACCAGTGTCACCACAGGCGCAACCTACAGCTACGGCCCAGCCTCGTGGGAGGCTGCCAAGGCCAACGATGGAGGCCTGGCGGCGGGGGGCCCTGCCGTGCACATGGCCTCTTATGGCCCAGAGCCATGCACCGACAATTCCGACTCCCTCATTGCCAAGATCAACCAGCGTTTGGACATGATGTCCAAGGAAGGAGGCAGGGGCGGGAGCGGCGGCGGTGGGGAGGGCATGCAGGACCGGGAGAGGTGATTATGGACCCAAGCCCTTCCCCCGGGACCCCACACCTCCCCACCTTTGTGCACATGGGAGTGGGCACCCACTCTTGAGGGAGGACCTGTCCTCGCCTCCCTCCTGAGTGTGGCATTGATGAGCTGGGCTCGTGGGGGGCCAGCGGTGTTACAGTAGGACTTCCTTGCTTTTCTTCATGGTGGGGCTTGGGCATGGTTGTTGGCTAACCTCCCCGAGACTCCTTTTTCCTGCATCCTGCTGCTCCTGTGGCCAGGGGCTCTGAGTCCCCCACTCAGCAGTATTCCGGGGGGGTGTTGGTTGGTGTTGGCCATCCGAGCACTCAGGTGGAATGCAGAGTGGTTTGGTTTGCTGTTTTGAATGTAGGGGCATCGAGGTTATACTGAGGGAGTGTGGCAGTGGGTGACTGGGGTGACTGCCCCTGACAGGCTGTGCTTCTGTTGCAGCTCCTTCCGCTTCCAGCCGTTCGAGTCCTATGACTCCAGGCCCTGCCTGCCCGAGCACAACCCCTACCGCCCCAGCTACAGCTATGACTATGACTTCGACCTGGGGTCCGACCGCAATGGCAGCTTTGGGGGGCAGTACAGTGAATGCCGGGACCCGGCCCGGGAGCGGGGCTCCCTTGATGGCTTCATGCGGGGCCGGGGCCAGGGCCGCTTCCAGGACCGGAGCAACCCTGGCGCCTTCATGCGCAGTGACCCCTTTGTGCCCCCCGCTGCGTCCTCTGAGCCCCTGTCCACGCCATGGAACGAGCTGAACTACGTGGGTGGACGGGGCCTGGGAGGGCCCTCCCCCAGCCGGCCGCCTCCGTCCCTCTTCTCCCAGTCCATGGCTCCCGACTACGGCGTGATGGGCATGCAGGCGGCAGGCGGCTATGACAGCACCATGCCCTACGGATGTGGCCGCTCGCAGCCTCGGATGCGGGATCGGGTAAGCCCTCACAAGGTCCCTTCCAGCTGCCTTCGCTTCTCTTTTTAGCAGCTTTGTCGAGGTAAAATGTCCCCATCTCAACATTCACTTAAATGTTTTTAAGTGCGCAGTTCGACTTTTAGTTAATTTACAGGATTGTGCAACCATCCCCACCACCACAGTCTAATCTTAGCATTTCTGTCAACTGGAAGAGAAACCTCTGCTCCTTAGTCACCCCCGTCTCCTCCCCCCCAGCCTCCAACAACCACCACTGGTCTCTGGATTTGCATGTGCTAGACATTTTGCACAAATGGAGTCACGAAACGTGCGGCCTTTTGTTCCTGGGTTCTTTCACTCAGCGTGATTTTCTTTTTAGTTTCAAATACGTTGTCTCTGCTTTTTAAAAGACCTTTTGTGCCTGTGTTGTCTGATCTTATAACCTTGCTCTTTTCTGTGGGGCATCTTCACGGCCCCGGTAAGTAGCTCACGGGGTGTGCTTGTTGTCTGTAGCCCAAGAGGAGAGGGTTTGACCGCTTCGGACCAGATGGCACGGGCAGGAAACGGAAGCAGTTCCAACTTTACGAGGAGCCAGACACCAAACTGGCCCGGCTTGACAGTGAAGGAGATTTCTCCGAAAATGGTATGTCCTGGGGGCCAGGGGGGCCAGGCGGATGTAGGATGGGTCAGCTGCCTGCTGGGGTCTGCCTGCCCCGTCTGTGTCGTGGACACTCGCGGGTGGCATGTTTCACCGCCACTGTGGTCAGGGCACACTCACCCTGGACGGCGAGCTCGGGAGGGTGGAAACCAGATGGGACCACTCTCCGGGGACTGACTTTTCCTCTCTTTGTGTCTGGCAGATGACGCAGCTGGTGACTTCCGCTCGGGAGATGAAGAATTCAAGGGTGTAAGTCCACCAGGCAGCCCTTTCGCCTCTAGCGTGGGATTTCTTCTTTCTTTAATCGCCCTTCCTCACAAAGGGGCAGGAGCGGCTGCCGTGGTGGATTTGACTACCTCTGAGTGGATTTAGGACCCTGACTTTTAGCTAGGTTTCTAAAAGTTTTCCACCTTAGCCGGGCGCAGTGGCTCACACCTGTAATCCTAGCACTTAGGGAGGCCCAGGTGGGTGGATCACTTGAGGTCAGGAGTTCAAGACCAGCCTGGCCAACGTGGTGAAACCCCATCTCAATTAAAAATACAAAAGTTAGCCAGGAGTGGTGGCATGTGCCTGTAGTCCCTGCTACTCGGGAGGCTGAGGGAGGAGTATCACTTGAACCTGGGAGGTGGAGGTTTGGAGGTTGCAGTGAGCTGAGATTGCACCACTGCACTCCAGCCTGGGCGACAGAGGGAGACTGTCTCAAAAAAAATGTTTTCAACTTACAGCAAACATTCCCTTTCTGAAAAAAGCTCCCAGTTCCTCTCCCTCGTCTCCAGGCCAGTAAGTGCAGGGACTGTAGGCTGAAGCTTCCAAGCACAGGCTGGAGGCTGATTTGCCGCCAGCTCCATACCAGGTACCGCTGCCCGGTGTCCTCATCCTTCCGTCCTCACAACAAGGCACAGGCGGGTAGCATGTGGGGCCAGTTCGTAGCCGGGACCACCCCAAGCTCCTGGGGAGGTGCCTCAGCCACCCCAGTGAAGATTCTGATCCAAGTTGGAGGTGTAGGGCCTGGATGTCCAGCGTGGGAAAGAGGGCCTTCCCAAGTCCTTACAGTCACTAGGCAGGAGACGGTGGCTTTTCAGGTTTTCAGAGTCTCACTTGATTCCTATTGTGCTGGTGTTGAGACTAGGAATCTCTGCAAACCTACTGATTCTTAATTTAACCGTATGTTCACTGCCTAAGGAGTCAGCTCTGTTTAGATTCTCAGTTGAATTGTTTTTATGTATACATGATTTGGTATCAAGACATTGGGTAAATGTAGGCCAGGTGCGGTGGCTCACGCCTGTAATCCCAGTATTTTGGGAGGCCGAGGTGGGTGGATCACTAGGTCACAAAATTGAGACCATCCCGGCCAATATGGTGAAATCCCGTCTCTACTGAAAATACAAAAATTAGCCGGACGTGGCGGCGTGCACCTGTAGTCCCAGATACTCCGGAGGCTGAGGCAGGAGAATAGCTTCAACCCAGGAGGCAGAGGTTGCAGTGAGCCGAGATCACGTCATTGCACTCCAGCCTGGGAGACAGAGTGAGACTGTCTCAAAAAAAAAAAAAAAAAAGAAAAGATATTGGATAAATATAAACAAAAGCTTGGGAAACGTGGTGGAACCCATTTTCTGTCAAGAATGCCGGAACTGGCATCCCCCAAGTGAGACTCCATCTTCCTACAGTTGGTGAACAGGCTCTGTTCATAGAATTGTACGGGTGGGCCTTTGTCATGGGGTAGGCAGTTCTGCAGCTTAGGAGGAGCCGAGAGAGGGTGGGTGAGTGGCTTTCTAGAAAGGTGGTCGTCACAGAATCTCTGAAGGCAACTGGGAGTAATAACAGGACACACAGACCCTGTCCTGAGCCCCAGAGGGTGGCCCTGACACTGTGGCTCATTCTTGGTGGCATAATAACCTAGGTCTGGGGTGAGACCACCCACCAGGCAGTGGCCAGGGACTGGGCTGGTTGTGGAGAGCTGTGGACACACCAGCTCACTGCCGGACTTCGTGTGTTCTCTTTTCCAGGAGGATGACTTCTGCGACTCTGGGAAGCAGAGAGGTAGGCGTCACCGTGTCCCTTGCAGCTTTCCTGTGTCTTCCTGGCTGCCCTGCACTTACTGCCCAGCTTCTGAGCAAGCCGGGGCCTGGATGGAGGGGCCCGTGGCTGTGGGGGAAGAGGGGCTGCAGCCACCAGATGGGCCTTGACCGTGGCGATCGGCCGACACTTTGCTTCAAAGTGTCTGGGGCAGCATTTACCGGAAACGGGTCTGTCTGCCTGACCCGATGCAGGCTGCAGTGGGGATGGGGGGCAGCCTTGGGTGTCCACCACAGCTGAAGTTTGTAGGGAAGGAGACACATGAGAGAAGAGGCTCCCAGCCCATCTTCTGTGCCCTGCTCGGCCAGCGCATGTCCCTGAACTGTTTTCTCCAGGGCTTCCTTTTGTCCGGTTCTTTCAGTCACCTGCCCTGGGCCATGCTGTGGACCTCTGTGGTGGGGATACTGGCAGCTGCAGTGCACATTGCTTTGTGCCTGCAAGTGTGTGACAGCAGACAGCTGCGGGGTCGGGAGCACCAGGCCCACTGGGTCTTTGAGAGGCAGGCGCCCTTCAGCAGGTCTCTTCATGTCCAGTGCAGGAGATGAAAGGGTCCGCAGCAACAGCAGACCAGGCTTAAAGCCCCACGGCAGGGCGGCCTGAGGTGCCGCGGCCTGGAGCTCACCCTGAAGCCACTTGTTTCTTTACCTGTTCTGTGGGTCTTTCCGTAGCTGGTTACCCCAAGGATCACAGGCTGGCTCCTCAGTGGCCCTGCTCCCATGCATTCTGAAGGCCCTTGGCTTAGATGCTCCTCCTGTTCAGGCTTAGCCAGCCCTCTGCGGTCCTCCCCCGTGCGACCCGCAGCAGTCCTGTCCGTAGCACGGGGCGCCCCAAGCGCTTAGCGGCACAATGCTAAAGCAAAGGTGACATGTCTGTTGCGCGCAGGTCCTGCTACCTACCCGGGATGACTTTGCTATTAAACAGCAGTCATAGTTTCAGGCAGTGACCTCTTGCCAAAAATCCCACACGCCCTTTTGAGAGGCTTCTGAGCAGCGCACGCCGGTCGCCATCTTCGTGGGACAGTCTCGGGACTGGCATCAGGGGTAGGGGTTACAGTTCAGATGCTTCTCCAACCTTTTTTCAGCGTCCGTCCCTGGCCTCACGCTGGGACGATGGCCGCGTGGCTCTCCGAGGAGCTCCTGTGCTGGCCCCGGGGGACAGACGGGAGGACCAATCGGTCTCTTCCCAGATTTTTTTTCTAGGATTGCTTCCCACGCAGCCCTGGGAAAGCCCTAGGCTGACGGTTTTTGTGAGTGGAAGATAGAGGTCGGGCCAGCAAGGACTGTCAGACCTGCTGAGGCCCTAGTTCAGACGGGGCCGCCAGGACACTCGTCACAGTCCGCCTAGAGGTGGGATAGAGGACGGCGGAGCAGCTGCTTCACTTCTTGAGGCCTTCAGCTGCCGCCTCTTCATCCGGGGAGAATTGGCTTCTCCTGTGATATTGGGAGAAGACCCCATTGCAGGGCACGAGATTGGACAAGCAGGATGGGGAGGACAGAGACAGCAGGGGGCTGTGGTGCACATGGGGTGGGCAGGCTGTGTCCCTGGCCCGTCCTGGCCGCCTCAGGCCATGTGGGGAGTGAGGTGACGACTATGGCCTCGCCACAGGCCCGTGTCCACCAGGAGTCTCTGACGGTGCCTTGGGGCATCCTGGACTCTGCCTAGTGGTGCAGGCAGTGGCAGGGCACAGGGTGTAGTGGCCAAGCCGCAGCCCCCCGACCAGGCCCTGGAGCTCAGCTCCTTTGCAGGCCCCTCAGAGCGTCTCGAAGGGACTTGTCTGTTACAGGAGAGAAGGATGACGAGGACGAGGATGTGAAAAAGAGAAGGGAAAAGCAAAGGAGAAGAGACAGGACGCGGGACCGTGCAGCCGACAGGTGAGGCACGGGCACACACCCCCACAGGAAGAGGTGGACCTGGTGCAGTGGAGGTGCTCCCGAGCTCACCTGTCCTCCCTCCACAATGCTGGGGGCCTGGTAGCCTGACTCCTCTGGCCAAACCAGTGGGAGGCAAAACAGGAAACCGTTGAGAGTGCAGAAAAGGCCATCGCTTGTGCTCCCAGCACACAAGCTACCTGTCTTCTAGGACGGCTGGGATGTTGCTTTGGTGAAGTTAGGTTTCTGTTCTTGCTTAGAGAACTGGTGTTTGACTCGTGTCTCTTTTCCTCTGGAGTCCCAGCCTTACTAGTGGGTCTGTGTGGTCCATAACTGCCCAGCAGGGGGCTCTGTTACTCTCCTGCAGGCCTGAGGGGCAGCCCTGTCCCCGGCCTGGTGTCTGGCATCTCAGTCAGTGTCCTGCGTACACCTTATCTAAATCCAGACCACCCCTGGAGTTTGACATAGCTAGGAGACAGGTAGAGACATGGTCCTACCATCAAGATTTTGTCCCAGACTAGAAAATGATTGCAAAATGTTGAGCCCAAAGGATGTCAGCGTGAGCATACCATGTGCCTGCCCCTCGCTGCCAGGAGTTAAGGGCTTCCGACTAGAAACTGAAATTACCAGTGATCATGTGATGCTGAGGAATCCTTGACCTTAAGGTTCACATGGGAGAGTGGGTTTTTTTTTTCTTTTTTTTGTTCTTGAGATGGAGTCTTGATCTGTTGGCCAGGGTGGAGTGCAATGGCGCAATCTCGGCTCACTGCAACCTCTGCCTCCTGGGTTCAAGCAATTCCGCCTCAGCCTCCTGAGTAGCTGGGATTACAGGCACCCGCCACCATGCCCGGCTAATTTTTGTGTTTTTCGTAGAGGCGAGGATTCACTGTGTTGGCAAGGCTGGTCTCAAACTCCTGATCTCAGTGATCTGCCCACCTTGGCCTCCCAAAGTGCTGGGATTACAAGCGTGAGCCGCTGTGCCCAGCCTGGACAGTGATTGTTTTGTTCAAAGAAATGCTTAGTAAAAGGGGTGAGATGCAGTGGCTCACGCCTGTAATTCCAGCACTTTGGAAGACTGAGCCGGCGGCTCGCTTCAGGCCAGGAGTTCAAGACCAGCCTGGTCAGTATGGTGAAATCTGTCTACTAAAACTACAAAAATTAGCCAGGCATGGTGGCAGGTGCCTGTTATTTCAGCTACTACTGTAATCTCAGCTACAAGAACGAAACTCCATTTCAAAAGAAAGAGAAGTGCTTAGCAAAATGAAGCCAGGAACCAAACACGAAACTGTTTCTTCTTAAGCGGTACGGGAACATTGAAACCCTTGTTATTTTAAACAGATAAATGATGGATAGAGTAGATGACTTTTCGTGTCACATGGAAACTGAGATGACTTTTTTTTTTAGCTTTAATAATATAATGAAGACACAGGGGTCTGTCTTTGTTGCTTGGGCTATTGAACTAGCCTCAAGAGATCTTCCTGCCTTGACCTCCCAGAGTACTGGGAGAAGGGCATAGAGGTGACATTTTTTTACTTCCTTTTTGCTTTTTTGTTAATCTTGTATGTTCTTCCAATGAAGAGGTGACTTATTTTTATTTATTTATTTTTTGAGACAGAGCCTCGCTCTGTCGCCCAGGCTGGAGTGCAGTGGCGCGATCTCCACTCACTGCAAGCTCTGCCTCCTGGGTTCGCGCTACTCCATAGGGGGTGTGGACGTGTCTTCGTGGTGCTCGTCAGAGGTCAGGAGCTAGGCTTGTGGAGTTGGCAGAGGTGAAGTCCTGAGTGCCACAGGGCCTGTACCCCTACACCAGAAGGGCAGGAGCCTCCAGGACAGAGCCAGGGAGGAAGCACCCCAGTGTGGTGGCCTGGGGGTCTGCAGGCTGCTTTCCCTTGCCGTGCAGCGTGGTTACTTTTGGGGAGGCTTCGAAAGCCCGTGACAGAGAAGCCTCCCTTCTCATCTGTAGAATTGGTTGTGACGTGTCTCTATGTGGAGTCTCATGGGAGAGCTGGTCTTGGGTTTTGTGTTTTGAATTGTGCGAGGTGTTTTGTCTGCACGTAAAATGAGGTTGCCTTGTGTCATCCCAGTGGCTGCAGAGAGAAACTCATCTGAGAAGCTGTGGAGCTAGATGCTGGGCCCCAAGAGCCGCCAGCCAGAGCCTAGGGCGTCCCCAGTTCTGAGCAGTTGCAGCTTTCCGTTGTTTTCTCAGGGGCTTTGGGGCCAGACAGGGCTGCAGGGTCAGCAGATTACTATGTGAATCATTTGCCTGAGATACTTGCCAGTCCGTGTTCCCATTCTTCAGCTGGGGAAGTTTGGGTAACTGCCGTTCTGTTGCTCCTTGGGAAGTCAGAATTCTTGGTTCAACAGCGACTTTCCCTAGCTGAGTGCAGTGGCATGCACCTCTAATCCCAGCTACTTGGGAGGCTGAGGCGGGTGGATCACCTGAGGTCAGGAGTTCGAGACCAGCCTGGCCAACATGGTAAAACCCTGTCGCCTCCCAAGAGTGCGTCTGGGGATTACAGTGTGAGGCCACCTGTACCCAGCCTATTTTTTTTTTTTTTTTTTTTGGTATTTTTAGTAGA